TCATCCGAACACCAAGAACGGCATACAGCACCACCAGTTTGGTAAAAGTTAGAACTAAAGTGGAGCACTTACCACTTTGTTCTTGCTTCAACTCAGTGAACCTTTCGCTGCCGCGTTTGGGTTCAGAAGAACTACCACTGCAAGAACCACCATTGGAGGCGGCTGGACGCTGTGGATTAACGGCGGCAGGAGGTGACTGGTCTGCAACGAAATTGAGCTGTGAGCCACTGGACGACGACACGAAAGTTGACGACTGTTCACAGTCGTTCAGGGCGCCATTTTCCCAAACAGTACATGCCTTCTTTTGGCGAACTGAAAAAGAAATTGCTCCGACATTCTGTTTAACTTGACTAACAGGGTTACTTGGTCTCTCAACCTCAAGGTGAGGTGGCTTTTTTGCGGCGGCAGCAGATTCGCGAGCTTGAGCTTTAGCAAGCATCATCGCAATTTTGGTAGCTCTCGGTTTGGCTCTGTGAGTCCAGACAACCGGATAACCGCGCCACGAGACAACCTTGCCTAAAAATAAGGATTCAGGTCTTCCAACGGTAACAAACAAAAAGTAGTAAGTTTATAAAAAGGAGAAACTATTGCAAGAACAGAGTTTCCATTGCCTACCTAACAGAACATTGCAAAGTGTATTCAGTAATAGGTCAACAATTCATAGCGAAGAGATAACACTGATCGTCGAGGATCTACATTAAATTAACAGCTTGTCGCAATTCGAAAAACAGTCTTTTTCTGAGATTATGCAAGGAACTGAGTTCAATATTTCGAAATTTTGACTTAGCGTTCCAGGATTTAGTGAAAACCCTTATTTGATGGATACGGTGAAACTTGAGACCCTTGAAATGGTAGACAGGAGAATTTGGTTCTTATCGGCGGCATCGAAAACTAGCAACTTGTTAGTCGGAGTCAACCGCTATTATATACACGTATGGATCAAGATATACATGTTGGTGTCTAAGTATGTTTTTGTTCGACGTAACCAACTGATGCTGTTATGTGCCCAAGCACCGCAAGTGCTAAATAAAGTGGAGCCATGGCCTAACCAAAAGATCCCGCAGGTTACCATAAGCAAACAGATGGTGCAACTACTCCGTGCGAATACGGAGAAATGACTGGAGAGAATAAATCAAACCTGGTACACGTTAGATGGAAACCTGAGACAAAGATTGGCTGCTTAAAGTTTTATCACATTTTTTCGATCAACCGCTCTATAAAGGCCATTCCAAGACCTTACTATAAACTTCTGTTTTCTGCGACTCATCCATTTGGATCTAGCGAACTTGTTCGGCCATCAATCTGGAGGTCTTCCAATGGGTCTTCCCTTGGAACTAAGTCTAATATATCTGTGTTCCAGCAAT